AAGGTGAAGAGAGGTCGGGGAGCAGGGGTAGGAGAGGAAGTGAGGGCAAGGTGAACTCATGGGGGAGCTAGGGGGTTTCAGAACCTCCTACAGGAAGCAGAGGGTGTAGCATGGAGGGTGCAGGGCCATTTCTGGGGACTTCCGGTTCTGGAAGTTGGGGTATGTAGTATGCCAAGAACCCTGTGCTTTGGGAGGATCCTTAGCTAGAGGCACCCAAAGGCTCAGAAGAAGGCTCAGCTTGGGGTGGTGGTTGTGGGGTGATGGGAAAGAGGCAAGTTTTGAAAAAAAAAAACCAGTACTCCAGGCGCCTACGTGCTGTGCCCTGCGCACTCAACTCATCTTAACCCCAGTGTTTGTGGCTTCAAATCCCAAAGATATTTCAGGAGCCAAGGAAAGTGTAAAATACTATACCCATGGGGCTGGAGCGATAGCACAGCAGGTAAGGCATTTGCCTTGCACGCGACCGACCCGGGTTCGATTCCCAGCATCCCATATGGTCCCCCAAGCACCGCCAGGAGTAATTCCTGAATGCAAAACCAGGAGTAACCCTGTGCACTGCCGGGTGTGACCCAAAAAGGAAAAAAAAAAAAGCTATAACCACTTGATCTAGTCACAACACCAACTGTAAAACCAGAGATAGTACAGTGGGAAGGGCATTTGCTTTGCATGTACACAACCAACCTGGGTTCCCCCAAGCATGGGCAGGAGTGATTCCTGAGTGCAGAACCAGGAGGAACCCCTGAGCACCGCCAGGTTGTGGTCCCAAAATGAAAACAAACACAACAAAAAAGTTTTCTCTGGTGGCCAAGAGGATGGATCAAAGGGTTTGCGTGCTGGAGCCGGGGTCTGATCCCTCGCTCTGCAGGGTCCCCGAAGTACTGCTGGATATGACCGCACTCCCCCAAAAGAATTCACTGCAAAGACTGTGAATTGACCATCCTGAACCCCTTGTTGATAGAACTTTTGGCCGTACCTCAGGAAGAAGGGCTGGGATCAGACTCAGGGGCTGCATGGCTGGGACACAGGTCACTGTGATGACCATAATCATGCACAGGACTGCTGGATGAGGTGGCCCGAGAGACAGCTGGGGGTTAAGTGCCTGCTCCGGGCACTGCTTGGTCCCCCAGCTGACAAAAGATATCCTTGAGTGCAGAGCCAGGGGTGATCCCCAGGCAGAGCCAGGGGTGGCCCCAACCCCTCGTACCACAAAACAACAACAAAAAAGAAAATGAATTCAGAAGCAGGAAGGCTCGTCCTGCAGTGGAGTCAGTTCTAACCCCCGCCCCTGAGCAGAGCCAGGCGCCTGAGCACTGCTGCGCATGCCCGGTTTGTTTCTCGCTTTGGGGTCAAGCGCCTCGCCCACTGGACTATCAATTTCTGCATACAACCAACCCAATCATGCCACTTTTGGTATTTACCCAAGAAAATTCAAAGTTTCTGTCTACACAGAATTGTCGATTCAAAGCACTGAATTGTCAAAAATGCAAATGAACTCAAATTTACATTCAAGTGAATTTATATTCAAAAATGGCATATGCAGACAACGGGGTACACTGAGACTATTATTCAATACTAGACAGATGAGACTGGACAGTGCATGCCATACTTCCATCTACTCACTAGATGGCAGCAAAGCCCTCTCTTTCTGGTCCCACAGTCGGCTCATGGCGTCCTTTCCAGCAACATAGGTCTTGGAGAGTATCTCCATATAAGGAGAAGTGCCTGGACCAGAGAGGTGACACCCTAGATTTGCCAGATGAAATCAGAAGTAGGGATCTGATTGTCTCCCAGATTTTCTGGGCTTCCAAATCAATAATCCAGACATACATTACCAGATCCTCCCTTCCACCCTTTCTGTCAGGATTCTGCTGAGCCTAACACTGAAAAACTGGGCCTGTTTTTGTTTTTTTTTTGTTTCTTTGTTTTTACTTTTTTTTGGGTCACACCCGGCGATGCTCAGGGGTTACTCCTGGCTCATGCACTCCTGGCAGTGCTCGGGGGACCATATGGGATGCTGGGTATCGAACCCGGGTTGGCCATGTTGGCTGCATGCAAGGCAAACGCCCTACCCGCTGTGCTATTGCTCCAGCCCCTGTTTTTACTTTTTGGGTCACACCTGGCCATGCATAGGGATTACTCCTGGCTCTGCACTCAGGAATTACTCCTGGCGGTGCTCAGGGGACCCTATGGGATGCTGGGAATCGAACCTGGGTCGGCCACGTGCAAGGCAAACGCCCTACCCACTGTGCTATTGCTCCAGCCCCGTTTTTTAGTTTTGGGGGCCATACCTGGTGATGGCCATACTCCTGGGCTCTGCGCTTAGGGATCACTCCTGGTGGGGCTCAGTGGACCATTCGTGCTGCTGGGAATTAAACCTGGGTTGGGCACATGCAAGGCAAACCTGCTGTAGCTTTGCCCAGGCCCTGCATCAGCCTAGTTTTAACCCTGTCAGAAGTTGGCTGGCCAGGTTCGTACCAACAGGCCCTTAATCTTGGTGAGTCTGGTAAATGGTGAAGCTACCTCAGTTAAATTTTAGCTACCCACAGAATGAAGAAAGCCCTCAGGAACCCTGTGAGCCCCTTCATACAACTGGAGAGTGATAGGAAGGACACCCTGGGGTCTCTATTATCAAGACTTAAGGGGGCTGGAGCAATAGCACAGCGGGTAGGGCATTTGCCTTGCATGCCGCTGACCTGACCCGGATTCGATTCCCAGCATCCCATATGGTCCCCCAAGCACTGCCAGGAGTAATTCCTGAGTAAAAGTAAAGTAAAGTAAAGGCCCTCCCGTTGATCATCCATTTGTTCGAGAGGGCCCAGTAACGTCTCCATTGGAGACTTTGTTGTTACTGTGTTTGGCATATTGAATACATCACGGGGAGCTTGCCAGGCTCTGCCGTGCGGGCGAGATACTCTCCGTAGCTTGCTGGGCTCTCCGAGAGGGGCGGAGGAATCGAACTCAGGTCGGCCATGTTGGCTGCGTGCAAGGCAAACGCCCTACCGCTGTGCTATCGCTCTAGCCCTAATTCCTATTTCCTAATAGGAATTAGAATAATTTCCTAATAGGAATTAGAATATTTCCTAATAGGAATTAGAATAATTCCTAATTCCTGAGTACAGAGCCAAAAAAAAAAAAAAAGACTTAAGGCCAGAGTGATAGTACAGCAGGAGGCGTTTGCCTTGCGTGCGACCCGGATTCAATCATCATATCCCATGTGGTCCCCCAAGCACTGCCAGGAGTAATTCCTGAGTGCAGAGCCAGGAGTAATTTCAAGTTACTCCTGTTACAAGGGTGGTCTAAAAACAAACAAACAAAAAAAAAGACAGCCCTTGGCTTGGACATAACGTGGGGGCTGGGGTGGGGGATTTGATGTCCTTTCCTTTTTTGGGGGGGTGCTCAGAGAGTGGAAGGAAGTGCTTTGGCTTCCTCTGCACCTCCTGAGGCAGTCTATGCCTCTCACTTCCAATCCCGGCCAATTTTAAAGCTGCTCAACGCTGGGATGAGCACCCTGGGGAAACCCGCAATGCTTATTCTCATTTTCCAATAGTCAGAGCTAGAGGGTGTTAAAACGAGGGGCCAGTAAATAGTGGTTAGGATACAGAACAGGCATGTGAGTGACTTGGGTGACCTCAAGTATCCTTGGGTCTTCACACTGAGCTCAGTTGGCAGAGGATTGCTGGTGGGGCCTCCAAAACTGAGCACGGCTTGGGAGGACCAGCCCCTACCCCACAAAAACATAACTAGTACATTTTGCCTAAGGGAAAGCATGGGAAACCTCTGTCACTAAGACTGGTTAGGGTACAACCCCCAGACTTGCTGGTAAAGTAACCCAGAGTCTGGGGCTGGAGCAATAGTACAGCAGGTAGGGCATTTGCCTTGCTGTGTACACAGCTGACCCGGGTTCCATTCCCCGGCATTCCATATGGTCCATTGAGCAGTGCCGAGTAATTCCTGAGTGCAGAGCCAGGAGTAAGCTCTGAGCATCGCCATCGTAGGACCCAAAAAGAAAAAAGTAACCCAGTCTTCTTTCCCAGGATCACTGTCCTAGCCTGACTACCCCCATCCCGAGTACTGTAGAGTACTTGTGGCCTCTCCACAGGCTGAGCAGAGCCAATTGTCAGATTCTCCCGGAGTGGGTGTGGTATTTCCCTGGCTGCTTCACTGGAAAATTGTCCCCTCAGGATGAGCCAAAGGATATCTCAGGGATTGAGATCAGGAGCAGCTGAGGACCCCTGGGCATCCAGGCTGTTCCACTGGACAAAGTGCTGGAAAATCTACCCAAGGCGTCAATGGGCTGAGCATACAGGGGTTGAGGGGCAAAATAAGGACTCAGGTTCAACTAGCCCTGTACTGCCTACGGGAGTGTGAGTGGTAGCCCCAAGATACTTGCTGGGTGTGGCCCAAAGCCTGGGTCTCTCCCAATTGCTTCTTTTGAGCTACACTTGGCAGTGAACAGACCCAGGTCAGCTGTGCCAAGCACCCAATTTCCAGAAGCCCCCCTCACCCCCAGCAATTGTGTCTAACTTGTAAAGGTCTTTCTGAATGCTCTAAGATCCCTGCCCAGTTCAGTCAACCGGACCGCGGTCAGCATCAATTGTTTGGGCAGGGTCACCCATCCCCCAAGTAACCGCAGCCTTCAAAGATCAGGCTCCCCAGGAGGCTGTGAGCTCATGAGGCTGTTAACCAGCAATGTAGCAAGATTGAGTCCCATATATCACCCAACTGCGCAGTTTTGTGAAAACCATTGATTTAGGGGACAGAAGAGTAGAGGGTAGGGTGCTTGCCTTGCACTCAGCCAAACTGGTTTTGATCCCTGGCACCCCATGATTCCCACTCACCCAACCCCCAGGAGGAAGCCATGAGCACTGGCAGTGTGACATGGGCGCACACAGCTTTGAAGGCCTCACTGCTATTTCATCCATTCAACCAAGAACCCCTCCCCCTGCACCCCCTTCTCCATGCCCAGGGTTTGACTTTAATAAACAAAAGAACCACAATGATGAGTTAACTTAAATTTTTATTAGTATTGTTAATTTTTAGGAGGATTCTCAAAATGCTAAGATACATACGAATACCTGAAAATTAAAGGTAAGTTTATACATGTTCAGAGATACAATTACTAGGCTTCTCACAAATCCCATTTAAATTCCTTTCTTCCTCCCAACTCCACAGTGAAGCAGGGACACGAGACGACAAGAGTTTCAAGACAGAGGCTATGTCAAGCAAAGACACCGCAGGGACTTGAACCCTGTCCTGGAAACCAGGAGTGCCAACCACCAGCATCTTTTGCTTTTTTTTTTTTTAAGTTAGAAAAAGGCCAAAAAGCAAAACCTGAGAAAACAAAAGACTTTGTTTTCTCAGGAAAAGAAAAACCTTAGTAGCCCTACTGAAGAGCACTGGAGAATCTGCTTCAGCTAAGATGCTAGCTTGGCCAAGTCTGTTATGTTCACCTGAAAAAGTCTTAGCAGAGAATTTTGCAACCCCCCCAAACAGTCCTCAACCACTAAAATACCTAACATCTCTAGCTTTTTACTTTCCCACCCAACATTACAGTTCTTTCATGTTTTTATTTTTCCATTTACTGGCGGTTTTAAATCATGGCATACTAGTGCTATATTTTAAACATCTTAAGAGTTTTTGGTTGCAGTCTTAACGTTAACCTGCAAACTGCCTTTCCTAAGTAGTGCAACCCACCAGACCTTGGCACCACTGTTACCTTGCAAACGATTATGGATCGTGCCCAAAGGGATCCAAGTTACTGGCAGCATCGATGTGAGGGGTGAAGGGTCTGTGCTACACCAAAGGCAGGGGGTGGCGATGTGGCAGAGAAGTCGCTTGTGGGGAGACCTTGCTTTTAACAGGTTTCTGGAAAAGCTAGGGAAAAGTGGTTGCCCGCTTTCCCTCCCCTCAAGCATCACTTGAGCTCTAAGAGCTGCTTTAAAAACAGCTTCGGAAAATATTAGGACGAGCCCGGGAGCATACGACGTTATTAACGCATTCCTTTGGTGCCACTCCCAAGTTAGTGAGCCTCAATGCATGGTTAGGCAAATCCTGGAGGCTGACACCATTCAGATTGACCTGAGTATAATAGCGCTTTGTTGTCTCTCTTGCCACAGGAAGAAGGCTCCATGGTTGTCCTACTTTAAGCCTTCGGTGCCTTTAGTGAGGGATACCTGGAAAATCTTAAGAACAGGCTTAGCGCCCACCTCACCCCTCCACCCCAGGTCAAACACTTGCTCACATGCTATGGACTACAGCATTAAGCTGAAAGTCTAACATTTCTTTGACTTGGTATGTAAATGCAGAAAAAGCTGTTCACCTGTTGTCCTCATTTTGTCCAATGGTGAAATTCAACTGGAAGCTCCATCTAGTCTGCAGAGTATCATCTGAAAGAACTAGTGGTTCCCAATCCCCACATTCAAAATGGAATATCTGGTTTGTTTATGTAAAATAAGCAAGCTATTTTCCTTACTGGGTCTGGCTTCTCTGGCCCTTCGCATACGTCTGCTGTTTTGAATGTTCCTGCATGTAAGAATTAAGACCAAGGGAGGGGAGAGAGAAACCCGCACAAAAACAATGCACTAAAACCACTGAACTGTTGTCAAGTCATTTCCACTTGCCAGTTACACTTCCTGAAGACTGCTGCTTGTGTGGAATTTATTTCTTGTCAACTGATTTTAAAGTTGCATCTGAAAAAGACTAAAGGCTTCAATGCCCTCCCCACCCCCTTACCAGAAGTGAACAAAAAGCATTTTTACCTAAAGAAGCACAGCAAAAGGTACTTTGACTTCACTCACAAACATCAATGCTTAAAGCTGCAGAAATTTCCTCAACACTCAGCCTTTATATCACTCAGCTGGGTTTTCCTTCAACAATCACTACTCCAAGCATTAGGAAACACAACTTTGACTCATACTCCAGTCGTTTCAAAATGCATTCTAATAGCAGCGGGTCAGAACAGTACTGATTACTTGCCAACAGAACAGACAGACCTGAGTTCAAGACAACTGCATTCTGTGTAGTCTGTAAAAAAAAAGCTAAACAAGTAAGCCCCACCCCTCCTCCCTTCCCTCCAAAAAAATCAGGTTTTTAAAAAATGTGTTGCTGATAAACTCACTGCAAATCTCACTAGTAGAGAAGGCAGAGCCAAGTCAAAATCCTGAACTGCTTCAATGAAGGATGAAATGAAGCCTCTGGAAAGGAAAATTCTTTAAAAACCCCACATGCCCTCCCCTTACAAGTGCCTGTGTAAGATGCCAGTAATTTGTAAGCACTGGCTGACACTAGGTGAGAGATTTTAAGCATTTAAAATTAGCATGCAAATATCAAATTATATGCCCCTAGCTTTCTGGAAACAAGTGTAGGTGTAGTTACCTGTTTTGTTACTCTGATCATAATCTCCCACCTGTCTAAGAGGTATTTAATTCCTTATTTAGAGGGTTCTCTATTGCCATGTGCCTGGAATTATTAAATGCTCATCAATTTATGAAGGATAAAAAAATTTGTCTTTCCTGCCTTAAAAGTAAAATTCGTTCTTCTGCTCAATTCCTGATCTTGTCCATTTAAGTGCGCGAAGTTTCTGAAAGATTAGAGAAGAATCCCCCCAAGATTGCCCAACACTAACTACAGACAAACAATATTTTATTTAAATAAGGAGACACCTTTCTGAAAGCATACATTCTCTAATATGGTTTATTTTTTGGAATGATTTAATGGTTTTTTTCTGCACAATATACATCACAACACATTAAAATTTTACTTAAGATTTAACATTTTATCCTAACATACTAGTTTTTAGATTCAATGCTATTTATTTCTTATTATTATTTTTCAGATTTTCAGGTACCTTTTACGGTACTAATTAATCTCCATGGATTTCTAATTATCTGCCTCTGGATGAGTCTTATCCCATCATGTAAGCCCAAATGAGGCACAAATTCTGTTTACTTTTTTAAAGGCTGGATGGGAAAATTCTTCACAATCCTGAAATCCTTAAGGATCAGGAAAAATGGCCAAATTCAAATACTTTTAAAACTTCCAGTTTTTAAAAAGAAACACTTATCCCTAACATGCAATACTGCAGATGCAAGTTAAACTTATCTGTTAACAGCTGCCTGCTGTTTTCTGCTCCCAGATGAAATGAAGCAACTCTTCTGATAAGAGAAACCTGTCTGAGGCAAACGAAAGATTGGCAAACAGCACAGCCTCCTTTTCAATCCACTCGATCCCATTTATCTGAATTATTTCAGCTTCTTTTACTCCGAGATTAATGTAGTATTTTCATTTCATTTCGCTTTTTATTCTGCTTTTGTAAAAGCAGTAGAGATGAACATGTGATCTTCATTGTTATTTCTCATCACTTTGTTATTTTATTTCATCATTATTTCTCATCAACTCTTTATTCTTAAATTCATTACATTCTCATCAATTCCTTATTTTGTGGTTATAGCTTGATAAACCATAAATTTATAGTAGATTCCAATAACTTTTTTTAATTGGTAGATCTTGTTTGCTTTTTTTTTGGCATATGTAGACAACAATGTTCATCAGTAGAGTAAGGATCTCAGGGTTATGCCTTTTCCCCAATGGAGATATGAAATAAAATCTTTCTGCCTTTTACTTATCATTCACCAAGGAGCTGTTCCCTCTCCTTCTAGGCCATCATATTGCCAGGCTGGTTATGACTCAGAAGATGTAATCTGAAAAAAGTCTACAGAAAAAAAGTTTCCTCCCCTCCCCATCAACAAATGCCCACCCTGTCAGTAACAGTTTACATATAGTTAAGCGCAATTTTAAAAATATACAGTTCACAATCATTTTGAAGCATACCTTAACCTCTTGCTTTGAAATGATACAAGACTTCCTACACTGAGAAACAAAAACTTGCTTATAACGTGACTAAAAGTAGATCTTACTTGATAATATAAAAGCTACCATCAGCAGAAATCCCTTCAGGATCATTAAGCCACTCCTTTTGCTCTGAAGCTCCTATAGTATTAAGTTTATATTAAATCACCTGAAAAAAATTCCAAAAGAGAACCACACACTACCATATCCGACAACTTTTATAACATTAAAAAAATCTTCCCAAGATTTTGGTTAAGAGCCCAGTTGGGGTGAATCCAACCCCCAAGTCCTGCTGAACTTTGAATCCAGTGAATCTTCACAAATCTTCCCAGCCGCCCAATTCAAAACTGGGTGGTGGTGGGGTGCCTACGATTGGGAGTTACTTGCCAACTTTGAAGTTGAGATTTCTTTAGTTTTTCCATCCTAAGTATTTAAGTTCTCTGGCATGAGTTACCTGAAATCATAAACTAAACAATTACCTAAAACCCAACCCCCCTCCCCAATCCCAACCGTAACAGATCACTGACAACTAATCACCAATTTTGCCCCTCCCCTTCAATAAAAGGTATTTTTAAGGTCACACATTTTAAAACTTAACTTGGCCTAGTCAACCGCTTCTGATGTTCTCCTGAGGTGACAGATTATGAACCAAAGCTGCACTGTGCTGTACATTTCAGCTTCAACTGGGAATACTCTTCCAAGGAGTAAAGCAGCTCCAATCCCTGAAGGTGTTCGTGCCAACAGCATAGCAGTACAATCCTTCTCTAACCCAGTTTTCCATAGTGCTCTATCTGTGGAAAATCTTAGAAAAAAACATTTCTCCCCCCTTTCCCTGTGTAGACCACCCCGAAATACTTCCAAGTAAAATAACCAGCTTTAACAGTTATGAGCTTTTTAAAATCTGGTTAAGGGGTGGAAAAAAGAATTAGCTACCAGCCATTTCTCCATTGACCAGCTCCTCCACAGACCTCAAAGCAAGCTGCTTCGTGCTCTAGTTTCTAGAAACTGTAAACCTGTGGTGCTGATTATCCTGATACTGGATTTTCTTTTTGCTGTTACCTTGAATCGGTCATTTGCCTTTGGGATTCTAGAGACCTAAGGGGAGAAGAACTCAAAACATATTTTGCCCCCCAAAACAATCCCTAATTACACATCCAACTACATATTTAAACCTTAATTCAGGGTGAAAAGTAGAAAAACAAGTCATCTGTTGACAAAGCTAAAATACTTCAATGCCCAAACTAACTGCTTTGGAAAGGCAATTTTTCAGTTCTATCAAACTCGTTTGGTTTTCCTCAAATTAGTTTTAGGGGGGAAAAAATAACTTGCCATCTACCATTCCTCCAGGCCTTGGAAGTCTGCCCTCAAAAGCTTCAGACAAGACGCATGAGAAAACAAGCCTGAAAAAGAGAAACCTGTAACACCGGAACCGGAAATCGGCCTACACCCCAGTCCCCCATTACCATTAAAGTAGAAAAGGTTACCATACGCCATTACAAACAAACCAACAGCCGGCCTCACGGGGTCGTTACCACACCACTGGCTCTCCCTGTGGCCTCGCAGACTGGGGGGGCTGCTCTAGGATGCTCTAGCTAGCTCCAAACGCCCGCTGGCCGCCGCCGCCGCCGGGGTCGCCAAGCCAAGCCGCCCGCTAGCTTCGTCACCATCACCGACACCGCACTGGCTGCTCCTTCCTGGGTCCTCGCCTAGCTTCACCTCCACCGCGGCGCGGCTCCTTCCTTCTGGCTACCACACGGCTCTGGCTCCCGGACTCTCCTATCTTCACCGCTCGCTGCGCTGGCCTAGCTTCGCACTGGCTGCCGGCTCCTGGCTCCTGGCTGCCGCTCCTTCCTAGATCCTCAAGGCACTTCTGCGTGGCACCTGGTCGGCTGCCAACTGCCGCCTACTCCTCGGACGCAACTCCTTTTAGCTCAAGTCCAAAGCAACAATTTTGGGGAACATTCTTGGGCTCCAAGTCCTTCGAATTTTCCAGACAACTAGCTACTGCATTCACGGCCTTCCAAGCTTCCAACTCTTCCAAAACCCTCCGCCTAATTCTTAATGACTTCATCCTCTCAGAAGCTGCCTGACTTGAACACACCTTCCTTCTAGCTGCAGATGTCTAGGGCGATCTTGGCCTAAAATCTTCTACCTAAATCTCCATTCCTTCAGAACCTTCCACCAGCTTCCTTCCTGTGGCTCCTAAGCGCTTTCCTTCTAGCTTCGGCTCTTCTAGGTCGACCTCGGCCTACGGTAGCTACGACTCCCTTCTCTTCTCAGACCTGCTCCTAGGCCACGAGCGAGCAAGTCGGGAGGCGTCTGACTCCTCGGCCCTTTATCAAAGCGCTGCCTTCGTCTTCCTGCACTAACCGGCTGCCAACTCGTCTACCTTGCAGGCTTCTGGCGTCTATCTTCTAACGCCCCTGGAATCTTTGTCCTAGCTGGACTTTCACTTTCTATCTGAGGGACTTGGCGGCCATCTTGAACCTCGCTTCATCTTCTACATTTTCTACCGAATTTGCAGCTGTGCCCTCAAAGGCCGGTTTTCTAGCTGGTCTACACATTCTCTTCATCCTAATCACAAGGGCTTCCTGTCTTCTAAAAGGCCTTTTTAAAAATCTTCTAATTTGTTTCCTATCTTCTACATCTTTTCTTCACCTTCCTGTACTTCTGTCTTCCGAACATTTTCCACTTCAAATTTCTATCTTCTTTCTTCTATTTTAACCATTTATATGTTTTTTTTTAAATCCCACCACTCCCTGTACCTCGAATTTTTTTCCAGGCCAATCAGACCTTCTCTGGGCCCCGGAGGACGCCATCTTCCCTGCGCGACCATCTGAAGGTCTCTCAAATCACCTTCAAATTTACGTTCAATATTAAATTTAATTTACCTACGGCCTGGCTTCCTAAAATACCGTTTCTGTTCTATTTATGCCTCACATTTCAGAGCTAGCTACCGGCCTGTTCTTCCGTTTAAATTCCTTTTTAAATTCCAGGACTTTACAGTCCCCTCTCAGCCACTTCCTTAATTTAAGCTTTTTCTATATCCTCCGTTAAAGCATTTTCATCTCAACCTCCGTCAAGAACTAGAAAAATCGCTTTTCTTCTCTGCTCCGCTTCCAAGCTACTCTCTAAAACCTCCATAACTTCGCTCTTCCACAACCTTTTTATGTTTTTTAAATCTTTTTAAAGAGCTAAGCCCTAAGTCTTCTCTAGGTTATTTTCGCTATTTAGAATGGCTAAGCTCATTTCTCGAGCAGAGACTTATCTGCCTTCCTCAAGCTCCGCCGCTGCTGCCTGCTCTGCGCTCGCTGCCTCAATGCCTGCCGCAGCGCCGCGGGAGGCCTATTTATAGACCCGGGACGACTCACCCTGACGCAGTCGGTAACCCTCCGCAGCCTTTGTGAGGGAAGCAAGGAAATAGTCCCTGGCGGGGGGGTCGAAAATAGCTTCTGCGGGCCGCGTGGTCTCTGCGCCACTCCCGGCCAGCCGACTGCGTACCCCGGGGTGTGGGAGACTCATTAGTCAGGACGGTTGAGCTAAAACACGGGAAAGAAGGAAAACGTCCCTTATGTAAGCCCTCCCACGTAGCCATGACTTGAGAATGTCCGAGAAGTTCCATGAACCGCCCGTCTCTCCCCCACCCCCACCCCACCCCCGTTTCTTGGCTACCAGGGGGCCTGCTTTGCGCTCTGGATGGAGCCGGGGCTTGCGCCGGCCTCGCCATTTTGGCTTTGCCTCGGTACCGCACGTTCCCTGGGCGCCGCCATTTGCCTCGCCACGGCCTGCTCCGGGTGGGACCCCCTTTCTAGACACCCCCTGCTGGGGGGAGCTACGCAACCCTGCAAATGGAGCCTGCCTGAGCGGGTCCCGGGGCTTGCCTGAGCCCTTCCCACCTCCATCCCTCCATTAAATTAGCAAAAAAATCGCCAACACGGCCCACCGGGTCCCCGCTTTGGGGGGATCAGCGACGAACACCCCGCCCCGCCCCCGCCTTGTTCCACGCTTGGCTTTTCTGTACTGATGCGGGAAGGCAAATAAGAGCCCCTAGGTGCACGCAGACTGAGGAACTGTGATTTCAGTGACCTCTGCAGTCTCCCCGCCGCGGGAAAACGGGGTGAAACATGGCCGCCTCCCCGGGGCTCAAGGGAGACCCTCAGTTCCCGGGGAGACGAAGGGGCTGTGTCTGGGGGTCCCGCCTGCCGCCTTGGAGCTCAGGGTGGCGGCTGGGGGTTTCGGGGCGAGAGGCGGGAGGCCCGGAGTGGGCCAGCAAGTGGGGGATGGGGGTCCCGAAAGGCGCGGCCGGAGCGCCCCGCCCCCACGCGCACCCGCCGGCGCAAGGATCCGAGATCCGTGACCCGCCGCCGTCTCCCTTTGTGAGGGCCGGGCTCGCGGGCGGGCCCAGCCGGTTCTAACCGGCTCCAGCCGGTCCCGGCCGCCTCCAGAAGCTGTGGCGGTTGGCGCAGCGCAGCACTGCGCAGGCGCGCCCCACCCGCGGAGGCCGGCAGCGGGGAGGGTGTGGGGGAGGGGGCCCTGGCCGGCGCTTCCGGCCGTTCTTGGCTCTTCGGGCCGCGCTCAGACGCGGGCCCGGGTTTGTCCCTCCCGGTAGCCGGCCATTAGGGAGCCCGTCGTCCCTCGAGTGTGGGTCAGCGGGGCTCAGGCCTCGGCTTTTAGTAAAGCACAAGGTGGGACGCCCCAGGGCCCAGGCGGACTCCCTAGAAAACGGCCTTATTTGGGGCAGGAGGTTCTGTGAAGGGGAGACTCAAAGAGAAAAAAGAAATAGAGTTTTACAGAACTTTTCGGGTTTTTTTAGCTGATTTAGCTATGTCATTCCATAAATACACTCACTTCCTGCCGTGGCCGGAAGCGTGTCACGGATGGCAGACAGTGAACAATACATCAGGGTCCTAATACGGTGAAAGAGGACTGCTTCCTGTACCCCTGTAGCTACTTTTTTTTTTTTTTTGCTTTTTGGGTCACACCCAGCGATGCACGGGGGTTACTCTTGGCTCTGCATTCAGGAATTACCCCTGGCGGTGGTCGGGGGACCATATGGGATGGTGGGAGTCGAACCCGGGTCGGCCTCGCACAAGGCAAACGCCCTACCCACTGTGCTATTGCTCCAGTCTCCCCGTAACTACTTTTTCTCCCTTCTTTGCTGCACTTGTGCGAACTTCTGGGCGCCAGGAGGGGGACCCTGGTGGAGTTTTGTAGGTGCTTAAGTTCTGGGGAACACCCAGGAGGATTTTTTTCCTAATCAGAGGCCAGTGTTTCTGCTGTGAGGCAGCTGCTCTTTGCCTAGCAGGACAGCCTGCCAGCTGGTGTCAATAAAGACTCCCGAATTCTATCTTTTGGTCTCTGGTGGTCTTTTGCTGGCGACCCCACAACTGTTCCAAATGGAGTTGAGGGCCAGGGTGTAGGTTAGGATGGAAGGAAATGACTCAGGAATTCTGTTAACCTTGGATTTTTCTATGAGGAGAACGCCTTTAGCTGGGATGGTGGTTATGAGAGGCAGGCAGCTGGAGGAGGGGGGCTCTAGCAATCCCCTATCAAGTCCCCACTTCTTCAAGCACCCAAAAACCCAGCTCCAGCCCCCCACCCCCACCCAGGAATGTTACTGAGGTGCAGATGGGGGAATGTTACTGAGGTGCAGAGGGTTCCCTTTAAGGTCCTGACGTGGCACATCCTATGCCTGAAACTCAATCATGAACAGCTTGTAACTTGGAAAGTCCTGATGTTTGCTCTGGACTGGAAATTTTTCAGTTCAACTTTAGTGCTGGAAAGAGGAAGCCAGGGTTGGGTCACTTCATTTGGCAAGAGGAAACTTGGTGCTTTATCTAAAATCAGACTCGGCTAAATTATCCAGAACCTAGTGATGTCCCAGCATGTCCACAGTCCCCCAGCATGGCTGCAGTTTCCTCAGAGCTGGGGGAGGGCCTGGGGCCCCATTCTGGAACCAAAGAAAATGTTGGGAAACCTGGGGTACTTTTTTTTTTTTTTTTTTTTGCTTTTTGGGTCATACCCGATAATGCTCAGGGGTTACTCCTGGTTTTGCACTCAGGAATCACTCCTGGCGGTGCTCGGGGGACCATATGGGATACTGGGAATCGAACCCGGGAAAAGATCTGGGGTACTTTAAATAGTTTTCAATGTTATGATTCGTGGAGTAGCGGGTGGGGTGTTTACCTTGCATGCAGCTGGCCCAGAGTTGTTATCGGCACATATCGGGTCCCCCAGCACTGCCAGGTGTGGCCCAAATTTTTTTTAAGTAGATATTGATAAAGATGTTCTCAAGATTGCTATTAATTTCCATGCCTTATTATAGATCATAGCATTTTTCTTGGACTCAAATAGCTGCTTATTATTTGGTCAGCTCTTCCTGGCTTGGAGGAAAGACAATAGTCATCCTTCAGGAACCTATTTTGTGCTAGTGAGATAATTTGCCAGAGCCAGAGAGAAAATTCTCATTCCTTTCCCCACCCCCTCATGAGTAAGTGGGAAATACTTGAGCGATTACGGAACTAACCCATGTATTTATTGTTAAAGTCAAATCCTGTTTACTTTCTTTATCTCACTGGTTTTGCTTCACAAAATTGTGTCTCCAAAATATTCTGATTCCTCCCTCCTTGTTATTTCTCCGTTTCTGGAAAATTCACTGAAACAAAAGAATCTTGAATTGCTGTATTTTGTGAGGAGGTTATCTGTGCTTCTCAACTCTTTAAGTTGTAGGGGTTTTTTTTTTCTTTTTGGGTCACACCCGGCAATGCATAGGGGTTACTCCTGGCTCTGCACTCAGGAGTTACTCCTGGCGGTGCTCAGGGGACCATATGGGATGCTGGGAATCAAACCCAGGTCGGCCGTGTGCAAGGCAAATGCCCTACCTGCTGTGCTATCTCTCCAGCCCCTGTAGGTTTTTTTAAAACTAGGGTTGGAAAGATAGTTCAGAGGTTAGGGCTCTTCCCGGACATCCCATATGGCTCCTCGAGTCCGGCCAGGAGTGATCCCTGAGCACAGAATCAGGAGTAAGCGCTGACCACCACTGGGTATGACTCAAAAACAAAATCTCAGAACCATCCAAATTAGGTATCTCAGACCCTTTTTCTCTGGCCTGCATCCATGTCAGCATCGAGCCACCGCTGCTCTCTCTTCTGTTCCCTCATGAGCCTAATTACTTCTTTCACCTAAGGACACAAATATTAGAGGACGATTATTATTAGAGGACTAAAATATTTTAGTCACTCTGCTCCCTCAGAAACGGGGGCTATTAATAGAAGCCCTTGGTTCTGGTTTCTGGCTGCCGGCCACTCAGCCTGGACATGGGCACTAACCCTAAATTCCTGCTCAGTGATCATGTCCTTAGACGTAAATGGTGGGGTTAGACAAAGAAGTGAGGATGCCAGATCTTTTTAAATACAATAAAAAGAAATGGAAAAATTTTTAGGCCTCTATTCTGTGGCGTCCAGGAGGTGGGAGTGCAGAAAAGGAGGAAAGTTTTTTATTTTTTGCCAAATACAGTAACAATGAGTCTCATGATGGAGACGTTACTGGGCCCGCTCGAGCAAATCGAAGAGCAATGGGAGGACAGTGACAGTGATTATTTTTTTAAATTAAAAAAATAGAAACATTTTATTTTAAAAAATATATATTTTTTGGGTGACACCCAGTGATGCTCAGGGGTTACTCCTGGCTCTGAAGTTAGGAATTACTCCTGGCAGTGCTCAGGGGACAGTATGGGATGCCGGGATCGAACCTGGATCGGCGTGTGCAGGGCAAATGCCCGCCCCTCTGTACTATCACTCTGGCCCCAATAGTAGAAATGAGGCATCAAGGTTTCCTGTCAGTTGGGCCTGCCCTCATTCTCCAGAACCTTCTAGAAGATGCTCAAAACCATTCCACTGCTCCCTTCGGTAGCAAGGCCAGTCAGGCTTAGTCAGAGAAGAGCTGCTGGGCCCTCTGGGCCTCTCTCTGGGACTGGAGGCCAGAGAGGCCAGAGGCCAGCGCCAGGCCACACTGAGACTGCAGCCACACCCAGAGTCCTCACCAGCCTCTCCTTTGATGTTATCTAAACCGGCCTCACCAGAGACTGCTCTGGAAATGTAACTCAGAAGGAAGACCAGGGGAGACCTAAAAAGTCAAGTTTCTTGTTTTCTACAGCTAAAGAATTTCCAGCTCCCCTCCCCCAGCCTCCTTCCCAGGGCAGATCTCTGGGGCCCAGGCTGCGTCACTGTTTGGCTTCCGGCCCAGAGCCAGCCCCTGCGGAAGGAAAAAACCCGGAGGTGATGCAGCATTGTTGTCTGAGGATTTGAAATGTAACCGGAAAAGGTTAAAGTCAACCCCCAGGTTCACGAAACGCGCTCAGAGTAGGCAGAAATGAAGGGGCTTATCAGCAAAAACAAGGCACAGAAACAGGAAGTGGCTGCGTCATGGCCCGCCCCCAAAACGCTGTGCGTCTCCCAGACAGGCTTCAGACTTCCCTAACCGGAGAG